GGATGTAGTTTCTCCTATCATGATAAGATACATGGTAACCTTTGGTCATTATACTATTCCTTATCTTTGGATGTTGGACATATATTATATAGCCTGCTGTCAGGTCATGTTTATGTGATCTAGTAGATTCTTGAATGCTCTGAGAAATTTTTGGAAGCCAGAGCTGATGGTTCTGTGAAAGGTTTTGTTAAATGTACAAACAGAACTGGCCACTGACATAATTTCTTCCAAGGTTAACTTCTTCCTGCTTTTTTGTGAAGCTGCAGGACATAAACAGGTCAGGAGAATAGGCAGATAGTTAGGATGATGTAAAATTTTCCAAACAGCTAATTATGAAATCCCATTATGCATGTAACTATGTCTATTGCATGACAGTGAAGACCACAAAAAAACAAAAACAAAAAAACACAAACTTGTGAAGATAAAATTATTTGCCTCTATGCTGTCTTGAACATTGTTTTTGACATAGTATGGGTAAAGTATCCAGTACACTTTTAAAATTTATATATGAGTTGTAGATGCAGATACAGCTTGTTCATCCTATTACATGCTCTCTTGATTCCTGTCCATTTTTCATTTACTTGAGTTAGTTGATGGGGTAGGCAGGGTTTGGGGAACACCTCTTTGCATTACTTATTGTTTATCAGATGTGTATGTTGCTTTTCCTCCAGCTATGGTCAGGCTTTCTAACATTAGCACAAACTAGCTATAACTGTCCAGAGACTTAGACAAATATGGGTAGGAATGAAATGTTTCTTGTGATCTAAAACTATAGCTGTAAAAGAGAGTTAACAGTCTCTCAGTAGGCAGAATTTATGATACAGAATTTATATCCAGCCCTACTTCAAATCTTGCATGTTTGCTCCTTATGCTTTCTTCCTCTTATATATAAAAATCTTAGCCTTTCTTTTCTCATATCCCAGGCTTTGTTGCTAAGCACTGCAGAAAGGCAGTGGCATTTCTGTTTTCATGCTAAGACAATTCCCTTTTGCTAGGTACTTCTGACATGAGCTCAAGGCAGCTTACAGAAAGATCTTTCATTTTAGCTCTACAACAACCCTGTGAGATAGACTGGATAAGAGGACTGGATAAAAGACACAGTGAATTTGCTGAAGAAGTTATGCCTGGATTCAGAAGATTTTGCCAACTACCACTGAAATATTAAATTTTTGAGCAAAATGCTCAACAGGATGGTCTCAGTACAACAGCAAACATCTTGGGAAGATACCAAGTAGTTTGATATTTTTTTTAGTTTTGGTTTGAGGACAATTTAACCAAGTTTGTCCTGACAAAGGGAATGTTCTGAAGCAGACATATTTTCCAGACTGATGAGCATCAATTTTTTTTACAGAGATCTCCAGAATGTTTTTATTATCAGTGTATATAATTTATTTCGAATCATTGCAGTAAGAACTTCACCGTGATAAGGAAATTTAATATATGTGAGATTTCCATAGGATAGGATTGCTAATTTAATAAAATGTTTACACAATTGAACAAGTTGTTTGTTAGAATTGACTAAGCCGAAGGGATTATTATTTCACACTGCCACATCTCATATTGGATGACTCAGTTACGAAATAAATGAAAAAGGCATTAAACAGTGAGTGATTTGTTGATAAATCTCTATATCTTAGTAGGACCCAAATGAATTTAGCAGAAAAGATATGCAGACATCCAGAAAAGGTAAGCGATGAAAATCCGAAAGGTTTTCTTGCCCCAAATTATACAAACATAATGTATCAGTTTGTACAGAAGGGTTCCATAAAGATTTCAATGATTTAGATTCCTAGTTCCTGATTTATCAATTGATTTATTGTGTGCATTATAAACCAGTACAGAATTAATCCAAGTTGGTCAGCATAAAAAGATTACACTCAAAAACAACTATGGGTAATAATATTTATGTACAAAATATGTACTTACTGTATAATCATATAGAAGATAATTCTGCACTCTTCATGGTAGTATTAAAAGGATCAATTGTAAAGCTAACTTTGGAAAAAAAGAAGTAGCATTATGTGCCAATAGTAATTTGGCATATGGACCAAAATGTACAATTTAAATGGACTCTTGAAGCACAGATACCTAACCAGAAAATTACAGAAAAACATATAGATGTTCTGCATTACTTACACTTTTTCACAACCAGAAGCATAATTACTTCCACCAGTAGTCTATTTAACTGATTTTACTTGTCTTGCTTTTCCTAAATGTTGAAGCATGGCAACTGGAACAAAATTTGTTAAACTGAGACATTTTGCTTCCCATTCAGGAAGCTTCATCAGTTAAAATAAAAAATTTACTTAGGCAGAGGGTCATGAGAGTCCTTGGAATGTACCAACTCTTGCAACACCAACTTCAGTGGTTTCTCCCCAAAAGTTTAACAAATTTTGGTCCAGTTACCATGATTCAATCTTTTACATACTTTTGCCCTGGATGATTGAGTCTTCATTGACACATTGCAATACATTTGGGGGGGGGGAAACCCTGACATTGGTGTGGCAATAGTTGGTACATTCCACCGATTTTCTCACACTCTAACTAACTAATTTTTTATTTTATTTTATTTTTATTTGACTGATGAAGCTTCCTGGATGGGAAGCAAAACATCTTAGTTTAACAAATGTTGGTCCAGGTGCCATGGTTCAACCTTTTAGATACCTTTGGCCTGGATGTGTCTTCATTGACATATTGTTTTGCTTTTAATTTTGATTTAGAATGCAATAGTTTTTTAGGTAGTTCTAAATGCACAACCATTCATTTAGCAACTGTTCAAAGTTACAATGGCATTGAAAAAAGTGACTTATGACTGGTCCTCACACTTATGACCATTACAGCATTCCCACAGTCATATGATAAAATTCAGGCTTTTAGTAACTGGCATGTATTTATGATGGTTGCAGTACCCTGGGGTCATGTGATCACCATTTGTGACCTTCCCAGCTGGTTTCTGACAAGCAAAGTCAATGGTAGAAGCCAGATTCATTGAATGACCTCTAATTCACTTAGCTGCAATGAGTTGCTTAAAAACTATGGCAAAAAGGATGTAAAATTGGGTATGACTCACTGCCTTGCTTAGCAACTGAAATTCTGGTCCCAATTTGGGTCATAAGTAAAGGACCACCTGTATATGCGATTTTATTATACTTGAGTAGAAAGAGTCTGTTGATATTTAGAAGCCCCATCCCTTTTGACTGCTTAAGGAACAGGTTCTGTACACCGAAAGAGTTTGAGCCAGGGGTGAAATCCAGCAGGTTCTGACAGGTTCTGGAGAACTGGTAGCGGAAATTTTGAGTAGTTCGGAGAACCGGCAAATACCACCTCTGGATGGCCCCAGAGTGTGGTGGGAATGGAGATTTTGCAGTATCCTTCCCTGGAGTGGGGTGGGAATAGAGATTTTGCAGTATCCTTCCCCTGCCACGCCCACCAAGCCACGCCCACCAAGCCACGCCCACATAAACGGTAGTAAAAAAAATTGGATTTCACCACTGGTTTGAGCCCCCACGTTTGAAGACTAGCAAGAATAAAAAATTGCCAAGTGATTTGGCAGTGTTAAATCTTAGTTTAAAGAAAGACAGCATATATTTAATGCTATTAGTATAGCAATGGCTCTGTGAAAATCCCATATGAAAAGTGTACTTCCAAAATAGAAATTAAAACAATACACAAAACCAATAGGATGGAGAGTTTCTTTTATATCAGATGTAGCTAATTGTAAAACATGCCTGGAATAACCTTTACATACAGTCAGTGAGGTTAATCTATCTAAAAATGTCTTGTAATATTTAGATCTCGATGCAAATAGAAGAAAATTTGAATCTATTGTTTTTTAATCCGTGGGAATTCTAAAGTGGATGGGGGAGAATAAATGTGATACAAAGTAAAGATAGTAAGGAGACAAGTCCGTTTTTTCCTGTGAGCAAAAGACAGCTTTCTATGATGTAACACATTAGGATTACTCCCACATCCATCCTTCAGCAGCTGAACCAGTTTCTTTTTGGCTCAACTGCTTTACACTTGAAAGCAACGTGAGGCTAGTTTAATTGCTTGATTTGCTGCCCTTCTGGGGAGCTTGCACAGAAGCAGTTTCTTCATTTCTGGAAATTCTTGTCTCCTGGAAGTTTGGCTGCAATGCTAAAAAGTCTTTCGAAGAGCAGAGCTGGATTGACTCTTCCAGCTCCCAGAAACTGGCACAGATTGTCAGACAAATAAACTTAAACCGAAATAAGGAGGTGGATTGGGGTGCAAGCACTGTAAAACATTTTACATCCCTTTATAACCTAGGATGCAGTTGGAAAAAGTGAAAAGCATTTCTGTACCCCAATCTCTCAAAGCTGTTGCACAAAATAAACTAAAAAGGCAACCCTGCTGTATCCTAGGATTGTTGGCAATGAAGGCAACAGCTAATCAGTTTAAAACAGCTTTGAAGGGATTGGGGACTAGAACTGATGGCAGAACTGTAGAAATATTTTCTACTAAGCATCCTCTAAAAAGATATTTAATTCTTCCCCTGATCTGAAATGGCCCTTTCTAACTTGGGAGGAAAGATCAAGTATTGACAGCAGCTTCAGTTTTCCTTTTCTCTCCTGCAGACCCTATGGGAGATAGAGGATGAAAAGCAAGAAACTCTCCCTAATCACTTGGAAGAGGAATCCTGCAAGAGGCGGCTCGCGATGAGGCCAGAATTTAGCCCCAAACATTGCTATAAATCAGGGGAAAGAGTACGAGTAATTTACAGTTGCAGTTTTAACATAAGTTTGCCAATAAGTCTGCCCTTTTGCTGCCTCTCAAGTGAAACCGGTACCCTCCCGCAAGCCGCGAAGAGCGGCTCATGAATTTTACTTCGCTTTACAACCTAAGATGCAGTTGAACAAGTGAAAAGCACTCCTATTTATCCTGACTCTGAGCAGGGAGATGCGGAGAACTGCTCTCCGGGATCTCAGGGCCCATCCAGACCATCGGAGGAAAACGCGGATACGCGAGAAAAGTAGGGTGGTGCTGTCTTTGCTCCGAAGTAGACCGATCGAGCGCAAAAGCGAGCGGAGGCGCTCGCTGTAACAACGGGACAGGTGGCTCCTCTGCCTTTGCAGCAGCTTCACCCTCCTAATAAAGGAAAAGGCGTTAAGCAAAGCGGCACCTCGAACTGTATTAGCGCAATCGGGTTACAGCCGCCCTGTCAACGGGACTCTCGCAGGGCTCTCCTGAGTCCCTTCGCAATTCCTTCGCCGCATCCTGCCAGACTCCGTCGTGTTTTTCACCTTTTCTTTGGCCGCCCAACGAGAAGGAAGAGCTGCCGGCTTAGAGACGGGAGCTCAGCAGCAGGCGCCTCCGCCTCCCTCCGCAGGCAACCTCCGCCCTACTTCGCCTAGGCGGGGGATGCTACTCGTGTTCCTGACTGCCCTTGACACCAATCCTTCGCAGCGGGAGCAACAGCAGCCGCAACAACAAAAGCAGGCGAGGACAGGTCGGGTGACCGCGAGCTGCTTCCCGCTCCTCCTCCTCGACCTCCGGTTGAAGGCAGCCTCAGACCGGCTGCACAAAAGGCCGCTCAGCCGCCGCCTTCTCCCCCTCACGTTGCGGATCACGTCACGGGAAATAAATAAATAATCCCATTCACCCAGTGACAGGGAGCAGGAACCGGCGCGGCAGCGGCAAGCTTAGAGCCAACTCAGCCCAAGCTAGAGAGAGAGAGAGAGACGAAGCCAGGTAACGTAAAAGAGATCCATGCAGTGGGTTCTTTAAGGCAAACCCTGTCCCCCTTGGCGCAGCTTGGGAAGGGCGGCTGGGGTGGAGGCAAGGGGCGGTAGCAGCAGCCTGCGATCTGTTTATTTCTAGCCAAGCGTGCCCGTTGCCTACCGCTTCGTGTTTCTGTCCATGCTCCTAAAACGCTGCTGACCTCGGAGTGCGTGTCACTGTATAGGAACGTTATGACCCGTCTGCCCACCGTTTCCCACCCCAGGCACGGAAGGCAGAGAAGAGTGTCCTTTTTGCCACCTCGCGGCGGCTGCTGCTGGGGTTGGAGCGCATTGCTTTGGATTGGTGGGCAAACCCCTCGTTCACCATGTGGATGCCTCCCTCATGGGCCGCTTTGCTAAGTGTACGTGTGGGCGAAAGCGGGAGATGCGTGGGAGAGGTTCTAGTGAACCGTTGGTAAAGCCGAAGGACTAAGGCTGCCACAAAATTGAACGAACAAAGAAACCCTCAAATCTTACCACCTTCTCCGGCACTTGCAGAACTGCTTGCCCTAGGACAGGGGAGGTAACCGCACAAACCCCGCCTCCCCCCTCCAATTTGATAGATGACCAGTGGCTTGTGAAATTGCCAATCGCCCCAGTAGACAAAAAGATACACCTTAGGCCGCGTACACGAGGGGGCATGGGGACACTTACTCAAGTTCCCCTTTTTTTCCCACCCCGACCCAGACATCACGCTATGGGGCGATACGGGAGCCTAGCCGAGGACCCTTTTGTTTCACGCCGAATGTCAGATTAACATCCCTCCTCTTCCGACTCCGCAACATTTTGCACCCGAATCCCCTATGCTAGGAAACTAAACAAAACCAGTTTTACCTTTATAAGAGGCCATAGCCTCTAGCATTGCAATTACGTTTCCCTCCACCCGGACCTAAAAGCAGCCATCTTGAAAGCACTTCTGAATGGGCTTCAATTTACTGGGATAAGCACCGCAGGTTGTTTGGGGACGGGTGACAAGGCCGGCGCACGCCGTCGTCTATACCTCTGGGGCCAGTCCGTTAATTGTGCGCTGCCGCAGGACCAGGACTAAGGCGGAGATTAAGGCGGCGACAGGAACAGCCGCAGCATCACGCGTCCTTTCTCCGTATCCAGTTCGTTGGAAAGTCCGGCCCTTTCCCCCTCCTCTTCAATTCCGGGAGAAACCGGTTGACCGTGATGGGCGAGGGGTGTATATTTCTGCCCAGGCCGATGTGTATCGAACCCTTTTGGGTCTGCTTGGCTTTAGTTCCTATCACATCCCAGGGTGGGTGGGTGGCAAAATCTCGGTGCCGCAAACGTATGATTTGGGCCACGATCGGGCAGTTCTTGTTTTCAGGCCCCACCTCGGACTTGGCCAATGGGAAACGCGCGGAAGCTGCCCAATGGAAAGGCACCGTCTTGATCCATCTGTGGAGGGAGGGATGCCGTGAGACGGAGGCTTGACTGACTTGCTGTCACCGGTTGGTTCTTGCTGGTTTGGAAGCGATCTGAGGCCACGTGGAGTGTCGTTGAACAGCTGGGATGCTATCAGCCAAAGGAGGTCAAGGGCATGTGGGGTGACCCGCTCATAGAAGGTTTTTCAATGCTACCCTTCCACCCAGGGTGGAAATTGTTGAAAGTACTACTTTTTAGGTAAAATGTTCTGGAGCTTTCAGAGAAAAGTGAATTGCCCTGTTTTTGGAATTTCTGTGTATGTGGATGAGGAAGAAGGATGTGTGTTTGTTCCTGTGTGTGTTACTAACTGAGAACACCCTGGTATATTTTTGTGACATCTTTTGTGACAATTTATGATGACATAAGCTTTCCTGCACTCAGTCTACCTTACAACCACCAAACCTGTATTTAGAATAGCAGTGAAAGAAGAAATGGGCAACATTGGTATTTTACTTAAATTTTAAGCAAAGCCCCAGCCATATTGTATGATACAGATATTTTTAATGAAAGCTCCCACTCCATGAGCACCTCAAATGATACGTCCATCATTAAACTATTTATTAATAATCAAATGATTGCAACTGGTTCAATTTCAACTCTGCTTTCCATTTTTCTCTAAACATACCACATACTCTGCAAGATTTCCAAACAAAACATTTAAGCACCTTAGCACCAGTTACATAATAGGTCGTATTTTTCGGAGTATGAGACGCTCTAGAGTATGAAATGCACATATGTTTTTGGGGAGGAAAACAAGAAGAAAAAATTCTGCCTCTGTCTATCAGCATCCATCGGTATTCATCTGACTACTGTCCTTGCAGCAAACAGCAAACAACCTGGTCAGCTTCAGCACGTTATCGCAGCCTGATTCAGCAGGAGCAGCTGATTGGCGGTTGGATCAGCTTCCTGGAATACCGCCAATCAGCTGTTCCAGGCTGCGGGGATCACCACAACCCATTGCCGCCACTGTGCATTGCATTTTTAGCCTCCATGTGTCGTGTTTTTGTCTTTCGCATGCCAGATTTTCAGCCTCTGCACTCCACGTTTTTGGCCTTCGCGAGCTGCATTTTCAGCTGGTTCCAGGTGAAAGGGATCAGGGCTACGATCATTTCACTTCACCTGTTCACATTGTTTGTTTGTTTTCTCAGTGAAGCAATATGAAAATGTGTTGACATGCATGAGAATATACTTTAGGAATAATGACCAAATAGGACTTTTTTGAAGAATTTGCAAAGCCCTTTCTGTTTCTCAGGATGAATATGATGGTCTTAATTTCAAAATCAGAATGCCACTAAATGGAGGAAAATAAGAACATAAGTGCAATATTGGTGGATCAGACCAAGGACTATTTTAGTCTAGCATATTATTTCTAAGAATTGTCAACAAAACTTGTCATTAAATATAATAAAGAGTATGATTTGATTAGTTGAATTATCAACCAGGTGTTGCAGAAGCTTTCCAGGAGGAGACATAGGCCTCTCCCTTTCAAGTAGTGTTTGCAGGCTTATATTTGTTTGTTTGTTATAACTCTTCTTCTAGTCTACATGATCCTTGTTCTGAAGTGTTTTGCCTCCCCTTTGCTATGAGCCTCTTGAGCAAAGGAGAGTATGGATTGTAGCCAAAGTCTGTGCCCATCAGCCATATTACACAAATGCACTTGAGCTGCTAACCCAACCAATTCAAAATGCACAAGCTATTACTAGAATTAACACAGGAAACTAAACATTAGTAAGAATCCAAATACTGATTATTTTCAAATCAGGACAGAGGAACAATCCATGTCCCGAGCCCTCCAGAGATCATCAACCAATGCGACCAATGCCGTTTCCGTGCTATACCCAGACCTAAAACCCAACTGGAACGGATCCAGATAATCCACTTCATCCAGGTGATGAGGAAGCTGTCATGCTACCACACTCTCAACAACCTTCACCACGAAATGAAGGTTGGAGACAGGACGATAATTTGATAAAACAGGGCACAGTAATGTGTTTGAAATAACTGATGTATCTAGATAATCAGCCCAGCTAGTAATAACTCAAGATTCTTCCTAATTCATGAGTCAAATGAGGGTTATTTTAATAGACTAAAAAGGAAACATGTTTTCTTTTCCTTTTTTAGGTAAGTCTGTTAGTATGCCCTTTATAGCCAAGGAATGTATATGTGAGTAGCAAGGCCTTGTCACTGTACTAAAACACCACATTTTATCGCTTTGTAAACCTACAATTGAATTTCCTTTTTAAAATATAATTGCTTAAGATGCCCCCTCTTTTTTCCTTCATCATCTCTGACCCTGAATGATAAATTGTTGCTATTGTTGGTTAATCATACTTAAGACTAAACAAACTTCTAGATTATGTTGATAGCCATATGGTATCATCAACATTTTAAATGGTTTGTTCAGGGCCGGATTTTCCTATAGGCTAACTAGGCTTCAGCCTAGGGCCTCAAGATCAAGAGGGGCCTACATTCCCTACATTCAAATTGTTAGCAAAATTAAAATTACACTTTCACTATAGGTGAAAGGGCCTCATAAGTGGAATAGCCTAGGGCCTCTTTTCATCTAAATCCGGCCCTGGGTTTGTTATATAGTTATGTCCTTAAATCCAGGATAGGATGGGGGACAGTTTGAAATATTGGTTATTAAGTCTTTTGTTAGGAATCAGTTAAAAAAAACCCTCTTTCTTCATTTATATTATATTGAAAAAATGTCACCCATTTCTTCATATCTTCAAAACAGGATGCTGTTTTTATATGCCCTTCTCAGGGTATGCAAGAATTTCTTTTTACTATGTTTTAACCTTTTTATTGCAAGATAGCAAAGGCTGTTGATGGCTCTGCCCTTTGTAAACCCACTGTGATTAACATGTATACAGATATTGCGTATCTCTCAGCATAGCAAGATCTCATAGGATATAAAATGACACACCTCTGAGTTATTAGTGGCTTCATTTCACCAGTGACAAGACCTCTGATGTATGAAGAAGGCCACAGTTTTATTACCATAACTTGTGCAGAGACTTCTTGGATCTTTCAATAGCAACTTGCTTTTGTTTCTGTTAATGGTTCAAGAATCTATCCAAAACTCCAGCACACACAGACTGAAAAAGATTCTGGAACCAGCTCTAGAAAAATGCTTGTCCTATCAAAAGCTATATTGTGATCTAAATTCTAGTTCTGTAGCAACAATTATAAATTCTATATATCTTGTTTTCTCCATTACTATACTCCATTCTTTTCCTATCCTCTATTTTAGAAGAATTATGTTAAGTGACATCTGTTCTTTCAGTGAAAAAAGGTTGTTAGCTAATTTCAGGATTTTGGTGCTTGAATTTAGGAATTGCTATTGTAGCTGAAGGAAGAAAAATGGTTCCCAGTAAAAACTTGAGCAGGAGTTTGCAGACTTTGAGGACTGAATGATAACCCACAGCAGAATAATCCAGATTTTTAGAGTGAAATTTAATTGATTTTATTGAAGAATAAAAGGTTGGAAGAAAGTTTCCATTATTCTCAATTGTTCTTTAAATTGGAAAAATATCACTGTGATTTAAGTGATTTGTGTAATTATATTATTACACAAATAATGCAAATCACTATACAAATTTAATAATTGGATATAAAGTTATATAAAGCGTTATAAAGGTAAAGTAGTCAAGGTTTCATAATATTGCAATTTTTCATGTCATACTAGAATATAAACATGTTAAAATTATTATGCTTCAATCCTACAGACTTCCATCCTATGATATAGCAATAGCAATAGCATTTAGACTTATATACCCCTTCGTAGTGCTTTACAGCACTCTCTAAGAGGTTTACAGAGTCAGTATAATTCCCCAACAATCTGGGTTCTCATTTTACTGACCTCGGAAGGATGGAAGGCTAAATCAACCTTGAGCCACTCAGGATTGAACTCCTGGCAGTCAGCAGAATTAGCCTGCAATACTCCATGTTAATCACTGCATCACCTTAGCTGTATGCATGATGGTATGATAGATAAATTTAGAGATGTCATAGTATGCACTGGATAAGATCAAGGAAACAGTTGCTACATAGGTGTCAGTAACTATCTTTCATGTTGGCTAATCCTCATTCATAGTGAGTTCATTGAGATGGATTTTCTTTGAATGATTTGAAATATTTCTTCCTAGGTTTCTTGCCATTTAATAAGTTGCCAATGGATTTGCCTTCTATCACTTGATTATTGTGCCTACTCTATCCATTCCTTTCTCAAAATCCGCACGGTCTTTCCTGGCTAGGAAAGCAGATAAGTAGAACCTCTGATGGTACCCTTAACTTGTAAAGTGTTGATAAAGACTCAGTCATCCAGGCCAAGGGTATCTAAAAAGTTGAATCATGGCAACTGGACAAAAAATTATTAAACTGAGACATTTAGCTTCCCATCCAGGAAGCTTCATCAGTCAAAATAAAAAATTAGTTAGGCAGAGAATCAGAGAGTCTTTGAAATGTAGCAACTCTTGCCACATCAATTTCAGGGGTTTCCCCTCAAAAATTTAACAAATGTTGGTCCAGTTGCCATGATTCAACCTTTTGGATACCTTTGGTCTGAATGATTGAGTCTTCATTGACATAATACATTTTGGGGAGAAATCCCTGAAGTTGGTGTGACAAGAGTTGGTACATTCCAATGACTCTCTGACTCTCTGCCTAACTATTTCTTTTTTATTTTGACTGATGAAGCTTCCTGAATGAAAAACAAAACCTCCCAGTTTAACAAATGTTGGTCCAGTTGCAATGATTCAACTTTTTGATACTTAATTTGTAAAGTTTTACTGCAATTCACAAAATTAACTACATATTTACATGTGTTAAGAAGAACATGGTAACAATGACATACAACTACACTATGAATTTAGCAAATGGTATGGTAATACTATTAGTTCAAAAGTATTTAAAAATGGAAAAAAGTTAAAGCTTTAAAGGAACAGGTTTGGTGGAAATGAGAAGATAAGTTCTGGGAAGCTATATGTCAATGAAAGCCAAATGCTATATTTCAATGTGCTGAAATATAGTGGACGAAGTAGAAATATTTATTTAAATATAGAAATATGAAAAATTGTCGAGAAATTATAACTATTAAGCAATATGCAAAAAAATACAGTCCCTAGTTGATTAAAAATATTTGGAGGGACTTCAAGAGCAGTTGCTACTCCAGTCTGCCAACACTTGGATTTGTACTTAGAATCCATATTCACACAAACTAGGAACTATTGGATATTATGTTGTGTTGAAAGGTTATTGTATATATCAAAGTTAATTGGACTCTTGGACTTCTTACATGAAAGACTGGTAGGCCGGCTGCAAGAATTGGAGTTTGGAGCATACCTATTTACTATACAGATTTTCTACTTAGTTTGATTATTCTAAGATAAACAAAAGTAAATGTGAACAAAATTAGGCTTGTTTAGAATAAATTGTTGACCAATTAGTTGCACTGATTGATCCAACCTCTTAATAGTAGTCAGTAACAAAGTCCTAAGTTTCCTCTTTCACTTCACCATTAAATACAGAACTGGTAACTCATAATAGAGGATGCAAGCTACTGAGAAACAAAAATGATGAAAGGAGCTTATAAATTAACCTGTTTTATTTATGGAACAATCCCTTGAAGAAACATCATCAATAGGAAAAGATTTTGTCTCTGGTGTGACAAAATGTGGTATTAAAATACTTCAAGATACCAAATGTGGTATTAAAATACTTCAGGAAAGGTAAGGAAGACTTATATTAAAGAATTGGCCTAACCACCAGAATGAATTGTGCATGTGCACACAGCAGGTTAATGCTAGTATAAGATCTAAAAATGAGCCTACAAGCCAAGCTGATCTTATTTTGAACCACAAAGTAAGTGTGTTTGTGTTTAAACACAAAGACATGTTGATACCTAATCAAAATGAATCTGGATATATTTAAATTCAAAAGCAGTTACAGACTTCAGAACAAGAGACTCAGTGGCTATAAGGACTTTGATAAATTGAAACAAAGGGATAAATTGGTGAATTACTGGGAATGAAAACCATTCTGGGAGAAATTCCAGGTTACTTGGTTTTACTTAAACCTGTTAACTTGAATGCTGTAAGCCACTCTTTAGGAGAGTATTATAATATATATTATATATTATAAACATCCCCATGTTTTGATGGATTAACAAAAAACATTGGCAGTCAGATAGGTTTTTGTATATATCTGCAGTTCCATGAAAGTAACTACTTTCAAATTAATCAATAGAGGAAGTAAATCAACAATTAGATTCTGACCTTTTCAGGGCTCTCCTCTTGTGTCTGACAATCTTTGTATTGGTTGTGTTTTCCAGACTAGAATTGATTATTTAGCCAAACTGGGAGGAAATGTCAGTTAAATTCTGAAGTGCCAACTAACTGCATGAGATACAGTGTATCTGAAGTCTATTATAACCTTTTATTAGAATTCAGTCAGAACCAAATTGAAAATTATATTAGTTGGCTTGTCCATATGCAACTATTCCTGCTCAAGGCAAACTATAGCAAACTATAAAAGTTATAAAGGTTGAACATGGTTCGGTGATGGTCTTTGAGAATATGCTGTTCACATAGCACTTTACTATAGTAGGTTTATTTCAAGCTATTTCAAAGCTTATTGGAGTAAGTTATACTTTAATTATATGTTTCTATATTATATTCAGTATTAAATTATACATTATACTGGGAAGTAGAAGAAATAAGAAACTTATTTCATATTTCCCAAATATTAAATGCAGAAGCTCTTCTGAATCTCTAATTTTGCTATGCTTAATAAGATGTGTGTACATAAGCTGTTTTGCATGTATGGAAAAACCTTTGATTCCGTGTAATAACCGGAACATTCCTATGAGCAAAAAGCTACTGACATAATTTCTAGGGGTAGTTTTAAATACCACTTGAACAAAGTATGTATTCTAATTAAATTATGCAGGTACTTATTTCATGTGCATCCTGAGTTCTAGGTTAATTGGGATAGTCTTGAGAAAAAAAAATTAAATGACTATTGCATATATCAGAAATGATAATATTTTTTTAATTGCTAGCTGTGTCAGTGGGAGAAGAGTGCAGGAAAGTATTCATGTTCTAGAAGAAGCACCAAGTGCTTGTGAAAATGGAACTACTGGAAAATATATGGAAAATAGAGGCATTCAGAAAGGAGATCAAGAGAGTAAATATTTTATCAGTCTGAATTTATTTTATAGCTGCAAATAACAAAACAAATTAAGACTCTGTGATTGCTTACAAGTACCTATAATGTTGAACCACTAGTCAACAATATAAATTGTAAATGCCTAACATTAACCTCAGTATTTTACCACATCACAATACAGTTTCTGTTCAGAAGTGAAAAAAATAAATGATTTAGTTGGAATTGGGTATGTCTAGTCTAGTGAAAAGAGACTAAGGGACGACAAGATAACAGTGTTCCAATATTTAAAGGACTGTCAGAAAGAAGAGAGGGTCAATCTATTTTCCAAAGCCCCAGAAGGCAAGACAAGAAACGAAGGATGGAAACTAATCAAAGAGAGAAGTAATCTAGAACAAAGAAGAAATTTCCTAACAGGGAGAACAATTAACCAGAGGAACAAGTGGCTTGCCTTCAGAAATTGTGAATGGTCCAGCATGGGAGGATTTTAAGAAGAGACTGGACAGCCCCTTGTCTGGAATTGTATAGGGTATTGGACTAGAAGACCAAGGTCCCTTCCAACTCTTGTTCTCTTATAAATGGCATATCTGAACAATTCAATATTATTGTTCAGCTTACCTCTAACACTTGGTTCTGATTCTACTCACAATCAGTATTTCCTCCTCTTTAAAGACGCTGATGTTTGCAAAGGAAATAGTGGAAGGAACACTCTTCCCATTGGCTAAATTTAATGCTTTGCACTGCAGTTGGTGAATTATCTATTTGTTTTTCAAGTCACTATTTCCAGCCAATTGTTTTAGAGAAAAATAATGGTTCATAGGGACTTTGGTTTGGTACAAAAATCTTTCTTATTTATCAAACTAAAATCTGCTTTAGGTAATCACTCAAATGCATGTTTCTAATCTATTCTTATGATATCACTCAAGAAAATTCATTATATTAGGAACTATGTTTTAGGAACAGAGTTGCAAGGCTTGAAGGCATTTGTAACTTATTTGGATATGTCGCATATTGGGATATCTAAGAAATTTGTCCTTGATACTCAGCCTCTAATGTGTAAAATGTAGATAGTGAAAAGGACAAAGTATAATGCAGTCAGAGTCCTTATATTTCACATTGGCACCATTCATTATCTTTTTCAATGTTGTTTTTACATTTTTAGCCACATCATTTGTCCTCTCTCAAGCACCTAAATAACAACTCATTCCAGCTGGTGACGTAGGCCGAAATACGCTTCGTGTTTCATGAACAGGCTTATCAGCATGTCAGGTTATGTGGAACTTTTCAGATATGCAGCCTGACACAGTAATGCTCAATGTCATCTAGTGCCTGCCAGTATATATTTCTACATATTAAGGTAAACAATCATCAAATTGCCTTTTTGCTCAATTAGTAATCTAATTGAATCATGATGATATTTGCCTTTCTATTTCTTAGCATGTAACTTCAAATTAATTTAATTTCACATTTATTGTATACAGTGGAAATACAGCAATATGTCGGGTTACCAGTGACAGTAACAGAAACTTAAACAGAAATTAATTCACTAAAATAGACTAATGAAGTATTTATTTTACATGAAAACACCCAGTAACTATAAAGTGACGCTTAAATCACCTCTGTAAATTATTACTTTTATTCTGCTAATAGTGAGATAAACATGAAAGAGGAAATATATACTCATCTATGTATAGTTTATTATAATACATGTACTAATCTAAAAGGATGTATTTATATAAGCAATCTAAATTAGTGGGTTATAAATAAATGAGTTGTAAGTGGTGCCATAGAATATGCACAGCATCTTTTTAAAATAGCTAAGTAAGACACAGTTGCTTCAATAAATTGATTTCAAAGGTTAAATTTTAAGTCATTTAAATGACTACCATTTATAAATACTATCTACATCTAATGCATATCTATATTGAGTCTTTCTAAAACAGTGTCTTTCTAAATTACAGTTCAATATACGGAACTGATATTTGATTCTCCATTTATTTGAAATTGCAATGAAAATATATAGATAACATAGAATGAAATCAGAAAACATATTCATCTGTCTATCCATATTTTTAATTGTCTGTCATATTCAATGTTGTCTCATTTCTTTTTTTTAAATTACGAGTGTCTTTTCATAAGCTTTTCTGAACGCTATAAGAAAGTTTGAGTAGGAAGGATATATTGTTCTGATTACAGTTACCAATCAGTTTGGATGTTATTTTGCTTCATGTCAGTGACGGTATTGTGAAGTCTATAGTTGCTTTCCTGTGCTCATTTCCTTTCCAGTGCCAACCTCTTAGGAGGTTATCTAAAAGTTGACATTTGGCACTTTTGAAACTGTGGCACAGTATTGGGCTTTTTCATTGACAGTTAGATGGGATGAATGAATGGGCAAATACGGTGTAAAAAGAAATCATAAGAAGAAAGAAAGTACCTTTCTTAATGAAAAAAACCAGAAGAAAATATAATGAATATACTAAGAGACTTGGTGGCACAGCAGACTAAAGCACTGTTAAGTAACACCAGCTGCCTGCAATTACTGCAAGTTCAAATCTCACCAGGCTCAAGGTTGACTCAGCCTTCCATACTTTCGAGGTAGGTAAAATGAGGACCCGGTTTGTGGGGGCAATAAGCTGACTTTGTATAAAAAAGAACACCGCTGGGGGGGGGGTGAAAGCTATGAAGGCTATTGCTTAACGCATTGTAAGCCGCCCTGAATCTCCGGAGAAGGGCAGCATATAAATCGAACCAATCAATCAATAAATAAATAGATAGATATAATAAAAATGAACAAAATGAAGGGAAATAAGGAAAAACCATATAGTTACATACAGAACCTTATATGCCACCCTAGTTCATACAAAGTATATTGTGGATTACCATATAAGAAGAGAGATTCTGCTACAGCATTTCATGGAAAGCAGTCTAGATTCATATTCTTTTAGTTATTTACTTCATCTGCTTAAGATGAATTTTAGGCACTCACTTCTATGGGGTAAAAGTCCAGTTTTATGGATTTTAATTCAAAAGCAATTTTCCATAAAATACTATTTGTGTGATTCTGAGCCATATTTTCATTCCTGCAGAATGAAGGGGTTGGGGTCCCCCCCCTCAATTCTGTGTTTTGTCTGAACACACAGCATTTTTAGAAGTAGTGGACTAGAAACACTTCCAGAATTCTGTGATTTTTGTAAATTCTTGGCTGTTTTTCTGGAATTTACATCCAGTTATTATATAAGAGGACAGGTCACTTAAACATCTTTATATAAGAACAATGGAATGGAATGAGAATTAACTTTGTTGAAAATACAAGTTTGAGTTTCCATATTGCTGACCTATATTATCTTAATTTTTAAAGCACAAAACATATTTTTATATAATTTTTGGTAAAAGTAGGTAACGTTAGAAGCTATTTATTTAATTATGAGAGTTGTCCAACACCTGAAACCTTACAGCCTCTAGACCAGAGTTCCAGCCTTTCCAGGTCTGGTGGTGGTGGGGTTTTCCACGTGAGCACTCAGCAAATGTGCACAAATGGAGCACGCAATCACCTGCTGCTCATGCAAGTGGAGATGCATTTACGTGCCTATCACTTCTGGCTGCCCAGTTCTGAACAGCTCATGGCTTGGAGTGGGCCATGGCCTACTGGTTGAGAACCCCTGCTCTAGGCAACATACAGAATTTAGAAACTAAAATACAAAACTAACACTACAATTAATTAAAATAGTATCATCCATAATCTAATCTCTTAAATTAGGTTCTAAAATTAATTAGCTATTATTTTAAGCTGGTTATTATTAAGATCCAAAGGCCTTTTGAATAGTTACATTTTCACATGTCCAGAAAGTCACAAGGCCATTCTTGGTTCAAGGACAAATTACAAGGGAGAGGAGCTTTAGAGACAATGCCCACAGTTGGGTCCCTACCCATCAAACAGTAGATATAGAAAATCTACCACACCTCTGTTAAAAATTCCAAGTTTTTGAGATGTAAAAAAATTAGACCAAGATAAAACACTTCAGAATTTTCTCCACCTTTAATATTTTCAATTGCTTTTTTCAATGCTTATTTTTTTTCAATTTTTCAATTGCTTTTTAAGTTTAAATTCAATTTTTAATTTTTAAATCTTCAATTTTAAAATTCTTTTTTCACTTGTTTTAAAATTATTTTTTCAATTTTTCAATTTCCTTTTTCAACTAAATATTTGAAAAAAAACCAGTTTGCTTATTTTAATTCTTTTTAAAAAATTAAATTTTTAATGATCTAAGAGGAAAAAAATAAAAAATCACAGAAACGAGACAGACACTTAAAACAGAGAAGATAGTGATGAATTTTTCAAAACAGAGAAGAAAAGGGCCAAGAACTTTTGTAAGCTATTGCAAATTTTGTGACAGGGAAAATAATTTTTTAGAAATTATTTTCTAAAAAATGGCGCATTCCCCAACCCGTCGAGGCAAACAGCAAGTGGGAGGAGGCTCCGGGGCAAGGCCAGAGCTGGGGAATGGTGGATCCCTGGGCCCCAACCCAAGGTGAAGGATGAGTGGGCAGCATGCTTACCTTTGGTGAGCAGAGTGGGTGAGGCATGGAGGCGAGGCATGGAGATTAGCTGGGCCACGTGGTGAAGGCAAGATGTATAGGGTGGGGTGGGATGGGGCAGGACAGGGCGAGTGGGCAGGGTGAGCAGCAAGTGGGAGAGCGGATGGGTGGGGCGGGGCCAACCAGAGGTGGTATTTGCTGGTTCATAATTTCCGCTACTGGTTCACCCAAACTGGTTCAAACCAGCTGAATAACACCTCTGATGGTGGGATAAAACTCATGACTGGAATGCTCTGATGGAAGGATACAAACTATTCAAAAGAAACGGACCTAGCAAAAGAGGAGGTGAAGTTGCATTATGTTTAACTGATCACTACATCTCTATAGAAATCCAGAAAACCAAGGACTTTTCCTAGAGTCCATATGGGTCAATATAAAATGAAAAAAGAATAACATTGCTATAGGTGTATACTACAGGCCACCCAACCAAACAGAAGAAATAAAATGAACTTTTTGCTAAACAACTAACAAATGTACATAGGAAATATACCACAGTAGAAGTGAGAGATTTTAACTACCCTGATATCAACTGGGAGACAAACTCTGCAGCAACTGGGAGCTCAAACAGATTTCTAACCAACATAACTGACAACTTTGTCATCTAAAAGGTAGAGGAGGGAACTAGAGGAAAAGCTATACTAGACCTAATTCTTACTAATAGCAAAGAAGTTAAAGAGGGAATTGAAATTGCTTTCAACTTTGGGCAAGAGTGACCAGGTCATACTGGAATTCAATATAATGCAAACAAGCAATAGAACATAATACAGCCAGTGTATTAAACTTTAAAAGAGCTGATTTTAACAAACTCAGAGAGAGCCTAAGAAAAATTCAATGAATGAAAATCCTAAAGGGGAAAACAACTCAAGAAATGTGGGAAACTCTGAAAAATATGATCATAAAAGCCCAGTCCAGCAAAATACCACTAAAAAAGAAAAACAAGGAATCCAAGAAGAAACCAGCATGATTGCACAAAAATCTCTCTGATAAACTGAAAGACAAAAAGGACAACTACAAAAAATGGAAAGAGGGAAATATAACTAAGGCAGAATGCCAGCATATAGTCCGAATCTGCAAAGATGAAGTCAGGAAAGCTAAGGCTCAGAATAAACAAAGACTTGCAACAAAAGTCAAAGATAATTTTAAAAGTTTCTTTCAACATACAAATAACAAGAAAAAAGTGAAGGAAAAAACAGGTCTACTTAAGAGAGAAGATGGCAAGGAAGTAACAGGCAGTTGGGAGAAAGCAAAGCTGCTTAACTCACTCTTTGCATCAGTGTTCACTATAACCCAGCCTACTAAAAATCTAACTGTAAAAGACAGAGTAGAAATAAAAATTAAAATAAGCAAGAAAATGGTTAGAGAATGCCTATCTGATTTTGATGAATATAAATCACTGGGACCTGATGGTTTACATCCTGAGTTCTAAGGAGCTGGCAATTACCTTAGGAATTACCTGAGGACTGGAAAAGAGCTGATGTGGTTCCCATCTTCAAAAAAGGAAAAAAATAGTTCCAGGAAACTATAGATCAATCAGCCTAATATCAATACCTGGGAAGATACTAGAAAAGATAATCAATAAAGTTATAACTAAAAGCCAGCATGGGTTTGTTAAAAACAGATTGTGCCAAGCCAATCTTATTTCATTCTTTGACAAAGTGATTAAATTAGTAGACCAGTGAAATGCTGTGGACATAGTATACTTAGACTTCAGCAAGGCATTTGACAAAGTAAACCACAACCTACTTCCTGGTAAGCTAGAAA